ATATAAAAGTACTACTAATGTAGTACCTACTGTAAACAAAGCATATGATATACGATTTGTGTTGCAACCAAAAGTGGAGCAAAAACTTGAACAAATGGTGCAAGTGGGTATATTAAAACCAGTTACTTTTAAGTGAATGGACCTTGAACCTTGTTTTATTAATACACACTTGTACTTTGACTATTTTATTACTCAAAATAACTTTTACAGAGATGACCTTTCTGTCATGTTCTTTTCAGGTCCGTGACAGACGACAGCTCAACCCAACGTTGTCAAGTAACCCGAAAACTTACAATTAAATACACATCAATTACCACGAGCCGCCACTGATTAAAATAATCTATTTTGAAGGCGATTGCCAGAATGGAAATTGAAACGTCGAACAACATTTATATAGTGTAATTGTCATTACAATAAATTGTGGCCTACTCCCATAAAAACATATATAATTTATTTTTTTAGGATTATCGTTTGTTTTTATTTATTTTTATAACAGTAATAATAAGTAGTAATACTTTGGATGTTGAATACTTCACTATCCTTGTATTGTATATTTTCATTGGTTTGTTTTTAGATTCTGAACAAATATGTTTTTTTTTTCGAAAGCTCGTGTTACAATATGGGCATGTACCAAGTAACGTGCAACATTCGGTGAATATTTCATGAAGGAAGGAGCGAGAATGCCGTACAATACGTTAATTCCACCTATTTAATTAACTACAACCTAATTTTCGTAGATTGTTATAACAGCCATTCCTCATTCATTTAAATTGACCTTAATGATTTGTTTTCCTCGCTACGTTTTCATACAAATTTGGTTTTGGTTTCGGTGGCGAAAATAAATGGCTGCCATAAGACTTTGATAAATGTAGTTAACAGCAAAGTTTGACGTTTCCGCGTAAAGAGGATTAACGATGATGGTGGTTTAATACATAAATCTGTTAAAATGTAATGCTTCTTTGATACGTCGTTGGAGGTGTTACGAATTGACATAATGTTTTAATATTTTAGTGTTTTTTTATAACTATTTATTTATAGATTGATATAAGGTTGAATGCTCGAATAAATGAATTTTGATAAAATAAAAGGCAGATATCGAGGACAATTTTATTAATTAAATCTTGCCCAAGTACTTTCGCTTTCTAAAGCATCATCAGGGGCATCTGAAATAAGCCAAGAAACGTTTTTTTAAATGAAGAAACTAATTAACTAAGATAAAAAACTTGAAATTAATGGATAATAAAAGTTTTTACTTCGTCAATTTTGGGCTTTCCAACAAGCGCAGAATGTAATAAACATAACATTAAACATAAAATTGCACAAACACTACACTAAACAAGGACAAACAGTTTAAAATTCTTTAAAAATTAGTCGAAGATACATTCTTGTCGGCAACAGGAGAGAGAATGATATTAACGAAAATGTTAAGGTGACATGTGACACATGATAGCTTGGATGGACAGTCACAATCATGGAAATGTGATCTGCACATATTAAAATTCTATGTAAGTAAGCATTGACCAAAGGTCTAACTGACACTACTATAGGAAATCAACTAATGAAATATGACATATAGAATATTTTAATTTAACTAGATTGCATAATCTAGGTCTCACACTAACACCTGTGTATAATAATTAGGTTGTTAGTTTGAGAGCAAATGAAGTGGATGCAAGTAATAGACTAAACAATCTATTATATAGTGGGTGGTTGACTACAATAAAATGGTCTACCAGGCATTATCAACACTGTAAAAAAGAGAAGAAATCAGACTATGAAATTAAAATACTAAAAATTAAAAACAAAATTGAAAGCAGTGTATAAATGGGGTATAATTCAAGTAGTTCAGTTAAATCCCCAGTCAATGGGAGAACTATAAACTAATATGTAAAAGTTATTTTGAGTATGAAGACAATGAAAATCTTAATTAATTTAAATTGTACTAAGTTTAAACATATTTTTAAAAACTTTGTTGCAACTTTACTTTTATTTATTTTTACTTATAATTTATCACATTGTAATCTATCATCTTGGAGAATCTTTTAATAGTTATTTACACTCTATCTAGCACTATATATCGCAGAAGCCTTCGCAGAAGCAGTGGCAGACTCTAATAAGGGTATTAAAGTTAACGGCATATTTATTAACAACATGAGGTATGCCGATGATACAGCCATAGTGGAAAATAACATCGAATATCTTCAATGCCTTTTAAATGATCTAATTCTTGCAAGTGAAGCTCGGGGTTTGAAAATAAATATCAAGAAGACAAAAACAATGATTATATGTAGAAATGATTACCCCAACGCAAAGATATATGTCTCTGGAGAAGAAATCGAACAGGTCAGGCAATTGAAATACTTTGACAACAACAGGGTTGTTTGCTGAACGAGGGTTGGGACCCCAAAAGAAAGATCAGAGAAGAAGTCAGAAATGCTTTTTTGAGGCTTCGTAAGTTTCTGACTGATCGCAAATTAGACTTCAACCTCCGATACAAGATGCTTAAGTGTTACGTGTGGCCTGTTCTCCTATACGGAATGGAAGGATGGACGTTAAAGGCCAGTTCCATTAACAAACTTGAAGTGTTTGAAATGTGGTGCCTGCGTCGAATGCTTAGAATATCATGGACGGGCAGGGTCAGAAATGAGGAAGTACTCAGAAGAGCGGGCTTACAGGATAGGGAACTTTTTAGTTATGTAAAAAGTAAGAAGACTGCATAATTGGGACACATATTACGAGGCTTCTTTAACTTTTTTGTGCATATTAAATGTATCGTGTTTATGTTGCAATTGCTGTATTTCCGAACACTGTTTTCTTAGATGTGTATCCTTATATAATATCTAGAATCTCGTTTGTCATCCACGATTTCTTCTTAATTTTTGGTGGTTTATGAAATTTCTCTCGTATGTCTTTTGAAACTGTATGTAACTTTTCTAGCTCCTGGTCCATTACATCCGATTGAATAACGGTATTCAAATTGTTCTGTATATACCGTTTTACACTATGTTCTGTGTGTTGGTCTTTTAATAGCTTGATGTCGAATTTTGGATTAACACTACGTCTAACCTTCTTTAGCCTGAGCCTAATTTTGCCAATCAGTGAGTTATGGTCTGATTTGATATCAGCTCCTGGGTATGTCTTGACTGATTTTATGCTGTTCCGGAATCTTTTATTAATCAAAATGTAATTTATTTGATTTCTCACTATGCGGCCTGGAGTATCTTGAGGTGATTTCCATGTGTATAATCTTTTGTGTGGGAGTTTGAAGTAAGTGTTAGTAATCACAAACTCTTCTTCTGCTACAAATTCACCCAGTCCGTCTCCTCGCTCATTTCTTTCTCCAAGTCCAAATTGTCCTATGAATTCTCACGATTGTCCCCTACCAATTTTGGCATTTAGATCACCCATAATCAAAGTTAATTACTTTCTGGGGAGGCGTTTTAAGGTATTCGTTAGTTCGTTATAAAATGCTTCACTTATCTCGTCCGGTTTGTCAGTTGTAGGGGCATATACCTGGATAATGTTAGATGTAATTGGGTAGGTATTAAGTTGAAGGAGGAGTATTCTTTCCGATATAGGTACAAAGTTTTTAACATGTCTGGCAGTTTCTTGATTTAAGATTATACCTACCCCATTTTCGTGTCTTCCATTAGGGTTACCTGAGTAATTGATATGATGATCATTAATTTTACATTGCTCAGAGTTCGGCCATCTCATTTCACTTATTCCCATTATGTCTATTGATAGTCTATCCATCTCTTTGATTGCATTATGAGTCTTGCCTGCCTCATATAATGTTTTAACAATCCATGTGCAGATCGTGAGGTTTAACTTCCCATTATAATTGCAGAGATTTCTTCTGCTGTCGACCGAGAAGGCCTTGCCGTCTTGTGATTGTCCTTCTCTGCCGGATCTTGGTATCCGAATTCCATGATCAGTAATATGGTTTCTATGATTTGTCGTAGCCATGTTAATTGTACTAGGGGTACTCTCCGAGTCTTTAATGCAGTGGTTCCCCGTTGTCTTCTGCATCTTTATGCCGTTGAGATTTACCAATCTCAGGACAAAAAGGTGCCCTTCCACTTATCAGCTTATCCGCCCGAAGCCATTGGCCAATAAGTGGGGGGATTGCTTATACCGGCAATCTCTCGGACGTCAGAGCCTCGTTTGTTATCTGGCAGGATGCACCGAATGGCCAGGATCAGACCATTACACGGGCAGGTGAGGTTGACATTTGGATAGGAGAGGCTATATGTTGCGCATCTCTACCCCTTACATCCCATCTAATCCATCATCTAATAGTTAACTGCAAATAATCTCCAAAGAAACAAATATTTACTTATTATTGTTTTATATAAATTAAACATTGCAGAATTTATAACATAATATAAACAAAATGTATTAAATTATGTAAATTTTTATATTTGAAATACATCATATTTATACAGCATTCTACATAATACAGCATCTACATAATAAAAACATGCCAACACTGCTATACCGAAATTTGTTGTTCCATGTTTGACATTTACCGCTATAATTAGCTTGTACTTTCGGTAAACTCAACCAACTAAAGGATAAGGAATTAACAAATTAATAAAGAAATTAAAATAAAATAATTATTTAAATATAAATTAATAGAGATGTAACTTTTATAACGTTACAATTTAAAATTACCTAATGATTTTTGGTGCAACCCTGGTAGTCGCTGCTACTGCAGTTTACGGTATCTTCGAAATAAGATACTTTCCATTAAAAAAAAAACACTCTCATTACTAATTATACCTTATGCCAATCATAGAAATTAATTAAACTGTATTGCCATAATAAACCTTAACCTTGAACACGATGACCCTATTATTCATGTTGTTTATTTTTATAACCAGTTCCGAAATTATTTAAATAAAAACAAAAAATATGGCGGTATTCTGCAACACATACCGAAATCACAACCAGACAATCTTCATTATTCACTTGCAGCGACGACAGTGATAGTCGGGTGAGATTCGACAATGGATTCAAAGCATTTGCTTATTACAGACCGCAAAAAAATTCGTGAGGCGTGGGGTAAAAGTGATGAAGATGTGGTGCAAGATATTAAAATTATTAGAGATTGGTTAGGTACACAGAAGCATCTTCCTGAAATTCCAAGTAAGTTTAGTTATTGTTTGTATTATTTAACCACATTTGATTAAAGCCAAAAAATACAGATTATATGTAGGTACGAATATTAAATTTTGATAAACAAAAAAAACACAGTTAAACTGAAATTAATAATTTTAAACACTTTCGCTTAAAAATATTAACATACATATTAATCATATTACATATTATTACATATTTATACCTTCTTGTGAGTGTTTCTGGATTCATAGGTTACAACATATGCAGATTTAGGCAAATATAAAAATGCATATATTGCATATTTTGCACACTGTATGTAAATATCATATTTACACAAAAGATGTTTACTATTTTAATGGGAATAAGTCACAATTGAAGGTTAAAATAAGTTTATTGACGTTTCAATTTCCACTTCGGAAATTATTCCCAAAGTACAAACATTAATAAATTAAACAAATTTTGGTTTTTTCTTACTTGGTGAAAATTTCTTCTAATAATTTAATTTTATCTGACTAATTTATATTGAAAATTCAGACATAGATATATTATACATTTTAAAGTAAACGACTTTAAAATGACAAAAAATGACAGTAAGATTGAACCACCTGTTAGAAGAAGGGAATAAACGCCAAAATATGGCGAAACGACTTTTAACAAAAATATACCTTTTAAGGCAAGACCCATCTGTCCGCGCTAAGTAGGGAGTAAACACCATATAAGTTACGGAGATATTCCAACACTAAATGTGCGACATTTTTAAGAAGGGAATAAATAAAGGAAATTATTTCTTTCTTCAAACTTACGGTTTAATCTGTTTGTCACGTGTTTTTTGGCGGCCTACGGCGACATGCTGTAACTGTCGGTGATGAAAATACAATTCAGTTGCTGTTAACATCTACGTAAGTCTGGTTCTTGTTTTGTTTGTTGATATTTTAAACAGAAAAATGTCTAGTAGTAGTGATAGTAATAGCACTGAGGACAGTAACATAAACATTTTTTTGCGATTTGGCGACTTCACGGAAGAGAAAACGGGGTGTACGAAATAAACATTTATACAAACACGAGGTACAAAAATTACATCGTTTACACGGTGAAACCTATACTAGTTCAACTACAGGGCGTATTGTAGCGGCAAAATCAAATACTGTTAGTGAGTGTACATGTAAAAAACGGTGCACACAGAAGTTTAGTTTAGAAGAAAAGCAAACGATTCTACAAAGTGTGTACAGTGGACCTCCAAAAAATGAAAAGGATACTTTTCTTATGAGCCTCATAAACTGCTCGAAAGTTATTCGAAGACGATCCAAAAATGAAAATCCCAAAAGGCGTGACAATACTTTTCGTTATTTTATCCAAATAAATTCTGCAAGAGTTGAGGTATGTAGGCAAGCTTTTTCAATCTTGTATGCTATAAAACTAAAGCCATTTTTCGACTGACTTCTCTTATTGCCGAAGGAAAATTACCGGTGGATCACCGTGGTATTCATTTAAATCGTGGCAACAATTTAGATAACAATGTAGTTCTTGCGATCGATCATCACATTCGATCATTTCCGTTAAAAGAATCACATTACACCACCGTGAACTCTTTTGCAAAAAGTATCCCGAACATGCCAACATCGTTAAATACGATTTTTTTAGAAAATACTATAATTATAACCATGGCTACAGATTTGGAAGACCACAGGTTGACGTTTGTTCAACTTGTGAAGAACTTGAGGCAAAAATAAGAAGTCAAACGCTGAATGGAATGAAAACGTAGTACATCTGAGACGAGCTAAAAAGTTTTACCTGAAGCAGCAAGAAGTGTTGAGACTATGCCAAGAAAAGGAAAATGCCTTCCGCTTCCAAAAATACCAGTACAGGAAATGTTCTATCTCAGAAAACTAAGGCTTTACGTGTTTTGTGTCCACGATTTGAAAACAAATTGTGCAGATTTTTACACGTACCATGAAGCAGAAGCTAAAAGAGGACCTGATGATGTATGTAGCCCAATTTGCAAGATAATTCAGAATATGGACCCTGCTATAAACGAACTTCACGTGTTTAGTGAGGCTTGCGGAGGACAGAATAGAAACAATACCCTGATACGGTTCATGCTCATGTTGGTTTCGACTGGACGGTTCGATAAAGTGTATCAGTACTTTCCTGTGCGTGGAAATTCGTTTTTACAGTGTGATCGGAATTTCGGAACAGCAAAAAGACTTATGAGGAGAAAAGATAGGATTTACGTACCAGAGGAATACAACATAATGATCTCTATTGCCAAAACCAGAGGATTTTCGGTAGCAACAATCACCTCAGACGACATATTCGACTTTAAAAACACTTTGAAAAATTATTACAAAACAACGTGTAAGTCGGTGGACAAAACGTCTACATTTATGATATCCAAATATAGATATTTAGACTATTCTTCTTCCCATAAAGGATACGTAACAATTTCAGAACAAATAGATGGTTTTCTGAAACAGAGGTTTCTACTTCAAAAAAATGGGGTGATCCCTTCATTGCCTACTACCAGAGCATACAGGGCAAAAATACCAATAAATGAGAAAAAGATGAAAGACGTTCGGAAAATAATTCCATATATTCCAGAAGATAAAAAAGAATTTTATGAAAACATTCTTACATGGCCAACAACTGCATCAGATAATATCATTGAGGAAGAAGGGTAGTTTAGGGAAATGTTTTTTTATGTATTTGTTTGTTTTTTATAATTTACTTTAAATAAAATAAGCTTCTTCATACAATTTTGTGTCTTTATTCATGTCAAAAAAATATAAGTTGTAAGAAAGGAATAAGTTCAAGATTTTCTTTATCGTCTTTCTAGATAACGAAAATCACTGGATGGTTTTTCTCCAATCCAAATTAACTTATATAAACTGTACTTTATAGTAGATGTCATTAGTAAACAAGAAAAAATTAAATAGAACGAATAAACAGTTTTTATTGATTTCCCGAAAATCTACTTTTTGGATTAATTCCCTTCTTCTAACTGGTGGTTGAATTCTTCTGTTAGTCCAACGTCGAAGTCAACGTTGGGTCAACTGTGTTCCCACGTTTAGTGAAGCATCCACACATTGAGTTGAGTATCAGTCTGTTCCCTATAGAACCAACGTCAACATGTCTGACACGAAAATTGCAGAGGCTGCGACTGTCGTGATAATGAGTGCATATGATTATATTTTGCTACTAAAAAAACGAATTTTACATCATTTTGTCTTCTGAGTGACTTAATCTTTAGAAATGCCGTGTGTGGCAACTGCAGACTGAATTTATGAGAGCAAACCTGACATCGAGGCTCTGACTCCCATTTTTTCTTTTATTTACTTCTCAAGTTTTTTAACCTTCTATTTTGGCTATATTCTGCATCAAATATGACTTTAATCCACAGCTAATACATATTTTAAAAGTTACATGACCACACGACAGTGGTCAATTAGGACAAAATGATCTATATTTTAAAATAAAAAGCATATACTTTTGTAAGATATTTAGATAAGTACATTTTTGTTGGTTGTCTGACAGAAAAAAAGATATGTATATTATTCATTTATCTAAGAAATAGCCTTTTAAGCATAAACCCCGTTCTAATAGATTGCCGACGTGCATCAAAGTGTTTATCCTAAACAACTCAACGGAAGTATCTCAGGGGGCCGAAGATCAATTTTAACTGGAATGGAAATTTTCTTCGATAAAGTAATGTAAAAAGAGTAAAATGGTAGCACAAGTGTTTTAAAAGAAAAAAGAAGACGAGAACTCTTTATATAAACTTCTAGGCTTGTCATTGGTTTATTTTCTTTTACTTTGCTAGATTGTGCAAAATTGGGTAACTAATTTTGTGCAGGAAGCGAAAATTACGCGCCAACAACGAAATTATGTGCAAATAGCATAATTATACGCCGATTGAAACACTGCTATAGCGCCAATGTGTGGTCGGCATTACCAGTATTGGCGCCAATCCCTTTGATGTGTAAACAAATACCGACATTCCACGGAAAACTACCAACGTTGGAGTAAGTCATAAAAACATTAGCGCCAACATTGGCCCCAACACAGTTTTGTCGGTACACACATTGTTGTCGGAACGTTGTTGGGGCCAACGTTGGTCCCTATGAGTGGAGTGGCGTAAAACATAAGGAAAAAACCTTATAATACTATCCCGACAGTGTAAGTATTTGGTCTTAGATTTAGTTTACTCCCAATAACCACCAAATTCTGATTTTATATGTTTGTTATTTAAAAAAACATAAATAATGGATCCTGGATATATTATTGAGTTAGTAATAGTGGTATTTTCTTTTTATTAATTTTCTTTTTTAATATGGGTAACCATATCTTACTATATTCTGTCGAGGAATTTGCGACACAATTGTTCTCATTTATATACATAATTAGAGCCGCTTCTTTGATTTTTTTACCAACTGTTTCTTTTAGGACTATACTTGAATCGTTCCATTAAACCCTATATTCATTTTTCCATGCGTGTTTACATATTTGTACATATACATATAAGTAATAAAAAATAAAATGTTGTTTAATTTATTAATGTTTGTATTTTGAGAACGATTTCCGAAGTGGAAATTGAAACGTTAATAGTTATTTAACCTTCAATTGTGGCTTATTCCCATTTAAAGGCTTTTTTGCCTTGCCAGTATAGGCAAGCGAGCTATTGGCATGCAAATTACTAACAAATGTGTTTTGTCATGCCAGCTATAGGTGAGTTGAAAACCACATTTCACCAAAAATTTCAAATATGATATTTTATGATTTTTATTATTTAAGACCTATTTTAATTGTAAAAATTACACACTGTATAATATCTTTAATCACAAATTATAGATTATCACACAGTGGATTCATCTGTGTGCCTTCTGTGCAGGTGGGTGTGGGTTCAAAACCAAAACGAGTTATGCGCCATGTCGCCTCGGGATGATAATTAAGAGTCTCAGAAACAACGGCTAAAGGCGCGTACAGACTAGCACACGCATGCGGTGAGAAGCCACGCATATGCGTGCGTACTC